TGTATATATTTATAACGACGCATGAAAATCTATTTGTTACATGAGTTGAACTATAATTATAATTTGTAAATAGCTAACAATTTATTACAACTAAGACTTCTTATTTTGATCTTTTGCTTTTTTAACAGTAACTAAATTGAAGTAAAGATTATAAATTTGATGGACAACAATTAGTTGAAATTCTTTACAACTTTTTTTTATCTTTAAACAAACAGAGTTCTGTTCAGTCGAAGACATATTGGTTTGATGAACACTAAATATGGAAGAATATAAAAACTTTTCTTTCATGCTTCTGTTTTATTTTTTATTTTTATTTTCACAATTTAGTGTTTTGATATTAATTCTAGATTTGATCATTTTATTAGAGGATAGAAGCCTTTTTGTTTTTTATTCTTTTATTTAAATATATAATATTTTTTAATAAATGACTCTGTGAAAATATGACTCTAAATATGATCATATTATATATTTGTATAATATATAATATGATCTCAAACTAAATAATTATGTTTTTTGGTATAAAATTGAATAAACTGAAAACCGATGATATATAAACCAAATCAAACTGAAGTACATAAAGATTTAAAATAATAGTTATATTTTAATGATCGAAATACCAAAAAATCGAGCCGAACCGAAACCCGATATCCGGATTGAACACCTCTAATCCGAATGAAACCGAACTATTGTTTCATTTTTAAAAACATAATAAAAATAATAGCTTCATCCCGCGCAAGGCGCGGGGCTTATCCTAGTTATCATATTAATTTTTAATCAAATTTTTAATTTTTATAATAGAAAAATATTATTTTAAGATAACAACACCATATCTATAAGAAGGGCCTATAAGAATTATCTTATTTTTGTAATGTGTATTTATTTTGACAATTATCATATTGATTTATAATCAATAATCTTATATAACATATAAATCTAATATTATTATTAAATTCGTTTTTAATTATATATAAAACTCATTAAGGGTAGAATTGATATTAACCATTCTAACTTTTAACGTGGAAGCTCCATTGCGAAAAATCACTTCGCAAATAATAGTATAGATCTTGTTTCTTCAGAGTATTTTATATTTTCTCATACAAAAATTTTCAGTCCCGGTGGGTGGGAAATTGATTTGTTGAGTAGGTGAGAATCGAGGGATATGGCCACCACAAAGTACACACAACAAGAAGCAAAAAAAACAAATGAATTCTTCTAAAGACTTGTATTTGGTCTATTTTATAGATTTTTGTTTTATTTGGTCTTTGTATATCATTAAAGATAGAAAGTAATGTCAGAATATGTCATGGTCAGCCATCAAAGAGTTTCTATTAACTTACATCTTCGTCGGTCCAATTCTTATCTTATCGTAATCTCACGAAGTTAAAAGTAACCAGCCACGTCACGTCTACTCATCTACACAACGAGTCTCAAATATATAACTTAGACTATGCTTTGAATTAGTCGTGGTACCTACTACGGGTAATCGGTTACTGTTTTGAGTTATCACTTTTGTTTGAATCAAGTGAAGGATTCAAAAAGTGATAGTAAACTACAAAAAGGGTATAGAGTCAGTAAGTTCGTCTAATAGCATGTGTCAGACCCTGAATTGGCTTACATGCGTTGGGATTATCTATTTAAGCCAAAAGGCATATGCCTTGTTTTCCTTGCACTGTACACTTGTACATCGCTAAAGCTTTCTGTACGACTTTCTTGTAAAAGGTGAAAGTTAAAAAGTCATTTTTTTAGGTGTGAAGATTTTATAGTACACTTGTACCAACATCACTTGATTCTTTGTCGGATCCATTTCGTGAAAACTAAGCAAAAATGGTATGTGGAAAGAGAAAAAAAAAGTTAAAATATATGACAAGTGAAAACAATACAAAAAGGCAAATATACGATTGATCTGAATCCCTAGCTCCTGAAAAAATAGCCGTATATATGAACCTTCTGGATCTATCATTACTGGAGTATGTTGAAGTTAACGAAGTTGAGGAATAGAATGTTCAACGAACCAAAGATAATAAACACAGAGAATTAATCAAACACCAAACCGCTAATCTTTATTTTTGTTTTTGGCACGATCCTACACCAAACGGTCCAAACCTCTGATCTAATTTGTTTGACGATGTGTTTCAAAAAAAAATGTTTGACGTTTTAAAAAAAAAAAAAAAGATCTACGATGTTTATATAGTTTCACCAAAATCAAAACTTTCTACTAATACCCTATTTGGAAACATAAATACTTCCACAGGAAAATGTAGCATTTTCTCATTTTATGTCCTTAATGTTTATATATCTTTTAACTTTTCAAAGAAACATCAAATAACGTGTAAGAATAATAAAAGAAAAAACAGAAAGAGTGTGTTTGATACCTTGTTAAGGGAGCAGACACGGTGGCGCGTGGGACGACGGCGTCAACGAGGTGCTTCCTTAAGCTTGTGATCAATTGAAAACTCTTTGATCTGGTTGCCATACAACTTCTCAGTTTTTTCGCCGGAGATCTTTAGATGAGAAGAGAGATTGTTTTCACTTGTTCCTTTCTTGTGTGTTTGATATAGTCACTATGATGACTTAACACGTTTTATGGTGTGCGTATATAATGCTCTGGAAAAAAATAGATAGGATTAGGAGACAAAGCACAATCTGATCCGCGTGTCTCACCTACCAAACGTCACCGTTTCAACTTCTTCTAACGCCGTTACTTGACGGATGGACGGTGTGTGAATCAAGGCCTTTACGGGCTTTAAAGACACGGGCCGTTATATTTATCTTCATAATTTCGTGATTATATGGGCTTAACTTAAGCTTGGCCCATTTAAAATCATCTACATCTTTAACAACGTTTGACACGTGTCCGCTACCACGTGTTTCACGTTCCTTAACCTCTCTTCTCTCAAAACTCAAGCTTAAGCTGCGAAGAAGACTCGATTCAGATCGAATCCGTTACAATGGCTCTGGAATGGGTTGTTTTGAGCTACGCGGCGGCAGCCGAATCCATCATGGTCATCCTTCTGACAATGCCGGGACTCGACGGACTCCGCAAAGGATTGATCGCCGTCACGCGTAACCTCCTGAAACCGTTTCTATCAATTGTCCCATTCTCTCTCTTCCTGTTGATGGACATCTACTGGAAGTACGAGACGATGCCTTCGTGCGAAGACGCAGATTCCTGCACGCCGTCGGAGCACCTCCGTCACCAGAAATCGATGATGAAATCCCAGCGAAACGCGCTTCTCATCGCGGCGGCACTCGTGTTCTATTGGATCTTATTCTCTGTTACTAATCTGGTGGTTAAGATCGAGCAGATTAACCAGCGGATCGAGAGGATTAAGAAGAAGGATTGATCGTAATCGTAATCGTACTTTTGAGTTTCTTTCACTGTTTAATCTGTTTCAACGCTTGTGATTGAATTTTGATTGGTCATAACCATTCAGGACATGCATTGATGACATAGGAATGATTCATTGAAAGTCAGGATTGGTTGATCTTATGGCATACAGCCACACATTGACATATCCTTTATGCTAAAACTATCTCTACTAATTTAGAATACTTGGGATGCATGTTTCTTAATCAGGATAGAGCATTGTTCTATTTAGCGTGTGATTGATAGATGCTAGTGTCGATCATGGATCCTAGTTTAACCATTACTTAACAATCTACTCTCATTATAGCATCTCCAATCCTATTTTATAATTTATTGTAAAATGAAGTGAGAAATAGTTTGATGAACAAACAAAAAAGTGATTACTCAATAGAGTGGGGCTATATTTAGAAGATGATATTCTGGCTTTAAAGGTTTTAGGTTTTGTAAAGTCATTAAAGGCAAAATTTTAAACAATCTAAAGATTCTTCTATTTTGTTCATGTTTTTCTAAAGCCACAATTACATGTTTTAGTCAAAAGCTAAAGTTTTTAAAGCCAAATTCTCTACAGCCTAGAAACTAAAGCCACATCCTTAAGCAACAGTCTATACCAATCGGAGCCATAATTGTACAAAGAGCAAATACAAAGATAACTTTTTATAATCACTTTACTAGGAAATACACACTTTTTCGGGTGCAGTGGAAATAAACCCGAATAAAGTATAAGCAGATTTAAATGAATACAACACTTTTTACATGGAGAAAAATATCAATAGTTCAAACTCAAATTTGATTCTCTCCAACCAAATCCATTGGTTTCTTCGCTAGGAAGAGTCCAACACACTCCCCTTCCGTATATGTGAAGGAAGTAGACATCACTTCTATCTCTTGGCATACCTCAAATCCTGTGACCAAATGCATTGTCACAAAATAACTGGATCATACATTGTCATTTCGCGTCCGTATTCAAAACCATATTATAAATCCGATCTAAACAAACGTCTTTTCTTGGTTCCCCATTTCAGATTTATAGAAGCTCCTGTCATGGCACGTTTCCTGGACATAGTGTCACTGATAATATCAGCTTCTTCGTAATCATCTGAAACTTGGACGGCTTCCTGTCTACTCCAGTGGTTACCGTCTCCATCTTTGTCGGCTGAACCAGCAAATTCATAGCAACGGTTAAGGTCAAAGTTCAAGACCTGGACACCACATTCAACAATGTCGAAACAGTTGAATTTGCTGGTGAATTCGAACGTTATATCTCCGCTCTCTTCGAGGTACCCGTTCTTGAGAAGCAAGTCAGAGTGAAAAACGAAGAGATGCTTCGGTTGATATGATATGATGGAGAATTGACAAAACTCGAATTCCTGGATAGGGTATGAGAAGCCTTTGCGTATCCGGCGAGATATTAAATGGTACTTAAAATATAAATCAGTTCGATCGTTGGGAGAATAAACAAGGCAGACCTTAAACTGGGAGAAGGCGGGAAGAGGGAATGTCAAAGTATTTCCCATGGCCCGGTGCTGGAACTCTGCAGGGACTTGGTTTCCAGGTAAGCATGACCACCCCACGAGTTGATGGGATCTTTCAAACCGTTGGTGGATAATTTCTTTTCGTGCTTTCTGGTCCAGTTTGAAGCAATTGAGGAAAGTGAGCTTTGCTAATGGAGTGTTCATAGGGCAAAACACTGTCTCCAGTGATTCACAATCTTGTACATATACAGATTTCAGCGAACCAGGGAGCTCTGGCAATGATTTGAGTTTCTTGCAATCAATGAGTAGAATTGATTTTAACATGTGTAGACCTTTGATGCAGCATATTGTTTCCATACCAGAATCGCTTAGGTTTAGACTAGTTATAGTCTTTGGGAGGTGTGTTAGTGTCTTGAGTTTTTTGTTACTGCTTAGACAGAGATCGAACTCACGAGGAAGGGAAATGGCACTAGTCGCTTCTCTGGGGGATGGGATTGACATACCGAATGTTTTCATGTTCGTACCTGATATTTGTATGTCGATGATGAGATTAAGAGGTGAGAGGGTCCAGTGAGTTGGAACGACTTCTAGCTTTGGGCAGGTAATCATCGTCAAGTCAGATAGTTTACTAAGATTCGAAATAGAGGAGGGGAGCTCTAATAAACTCTTGCAAGCACTCAGTTTCAGTGACTCAAGATTTGTAGCATTTGAAAGGTCTGGGAGTTCCTTCAGATGGTGGGAACCACACAAATCCATATGCTTGAGATTTGTAAGCGGCTGAAAGTTTAAAAAATCACAAAACCATCATTACATAATATAATTGATAGTAGTCTTTTAGATAATATTATTCAATGCATACCAAAGTTTTTAGAAACCAACCTGGATTCCTTCCCAAAGCTTTTCTAATTGGCTATTTCGAAAATCAAGTTTGACAAGACATTCTGTATGAAATGTAGGAGGAAGACACTTCCTTGGGTATGCATTCCAATGCAGAAACCATAAACGTTGTGGAAGCTCTATCTCTTCAGGTATATCCATTCTATCATTCCCATCATATTGACTTTTGATAACTTTGAGGAACCTGAGATTAGGCATTCTTTTGGAAGCTCCCTTTCTTATCAGCACTTCCTTGATTGCTGATGTATCAAATGATATGCCAACCACTTTGCTAGTAACCTAAACCAAATCCCATATAAATAAATAAAGGTATTGTTATCATAATATAGTAAAACCTCTATAAATTAATAATATTGAGACTTTAAAATTTTATCGATTTATAGTGATATTAATTTACAAAAATTTCTTTACTTAGATTTTTATTTATTTTAAGATATATTCTGTTTTTTAGGGCAACAAAATATATTTATTCTAAGATAAAAAAAAATTGATTTTAATTTATAGACATTAAATATTATTTTTGAAATTTGACATTTATATTAATTATATGCTATTATTTGGTGTATATAACATATACTACATATAATTTAAATATGATTTTAGATATATATTAAATCTCATCAAAAATATATTAAGTATTAAAAAAATATAAAGATAATTCCATTGTGAATTAAAAAAAAAACAGTATAATGATGGATTCTTAATTATATAAAATATGTATACATAGAAATTATTAATTTATAATTTTAATGGGACCATATTTCTACATAGAAATTTTTAAAAAATTATTATCTTATTATTTTATCGATTTGTGTCAAATTTTGAATCGGTCCAACGATGAAATTTATTAATTTATAGAGATTATTAATTTATCGTATATTAATTTATAGAAATTCTACTATGCAGCATTTGTTTATCTTAGCGAGATGAGTTGATCAGACAATAATTTTTTTTTAAAAAGTTACAAACAAGGAAAGTATTAATAGAACTTACAGTATTATTTCGCAAGACATCACATATGTCATTAGCATCAATTAAAATTTGGCGATTCCAAGGCTTTTCTGAGTTTTCTCTACGAATAGCTTTTCTACCCACTTGTTGTAGTAATCTATGCATCACTATTTCACCAAATGCAATCTCTATGAGTGATTTTTTTAGTAAGACTTTCAACCCGTTTTTAACATCCAAGCCAATGCCAGCCAGCATGGCTTTCACAAGATCACCATCACTATACTTGAAGAAGATTGCAATATAGCGAAATAGTGTTTGCTCATTGTCATCTAAACTTTCGTAGCCGACTTTTAGCACTTTCTCAATATCGTGATCAAGAATGTTTTCTAGCCTGATCATTACATCTATCCATTCTTCCTCCCTCTTCCCACGTAGAGATGAACCCACAACACGAAGACCCAACGGAAGCTTGCAACAAAGTTCTGTTATCCTTTTTGCAAGCTCTTTAAAACCCTTCGTTGGATAGCAACGTTGCTTGAAAGCATATCTACATAAGATATTAAGAGCTTCTTCACTAGATGGAAAACTCACATGGTATATATTATCGATAGCATGTTGTTGAAAAAGCTCTTGATCTTCCGTGGTTACTATAATCCTGCTTCCAAAACCAAACCAAGAAGTATCTCCAGCCAAAGCCTCTAACTGCTTTAGATTGTTTACATCATCAAGAATGATGAGCACTCTCAGGTTCCTTAGCCTTTGTTGTAACACACCTAGATGGCATATCCTTGTACCATCTTGGTTCAAAACCTTTGACAGAAGTTGTTCTTGTAAACGCAACTGCAGACCATAGTCATCAAGACCACTATTTTGATAGCTTTCCCTAAGGTTGTCCACAAAACAAGTATGCTGAAACCTACTAGAGAGTAGACTATGCAAAGCTCTGGCAATGGTTGTCTTACCAATCCCTGCAGGACCTGTGATTCCAACCATCTTTACTCCATCATAATCTAAATCTAGCAAAGACTCCAATTCCCTCAAATGAGCCCCAAGTCCCACCATGCCATCAAAATCCCTAGACGGTGTAACATTCAATTTATCTGAAACATCTCTTGCAATTTTCTTGATCATGTTGGCTTCACTGTCCCTAACAAATTATTTAAAAAAAAATAATGTTCATATCAAATAGGGATAATAACATTTCTCTGTTCCCATAAAAATTATTCATATATTCAAAAAAAGATTTTCCAGCAACCATTATAAAAAACGTTTTAAATATATAAGAAAAATACAATACAAAGTTCAATTTCAAACGCCAACTTAAATTATGGTTTTTATATTTCACAATAAGTTTAATAATATAATATATGTAATTATTTATATGATGGTACGTATAAAATTATTAATTATATGATGGTACGTATAAAATATGATTAATTATATAATGACACATATGATATATAATAGTGACATGAAAAATAAATAACAACGTAATTTTGAAAAATAATATATGAAATATTATATTATACTTATAAAAAAATATTTAATATAAAATAACTATATAAAACTGTCTATTTATAACTAATATATATATAAGATAAAGTAAACACCAAGATGTCAAAATCTAGAATATGCTTTAAACTTGTGATAATCACTTAACACAAGTAGAACTTAATAAATGTAAACTTAGATTAATTGAAGACAAACCAGTTTTTGAAGTCTTCTCCAGCAATTTTGCTAACATCATCCAATGCTCTGGTCCATCTCTGCCTTTCCTCGTCCGTCTTAAATTCACAAGTTTTCTTGAAAGCGATTCCGAATTCTCCGGTCTGTTTCCGTACATCGGATGGACTCACTCCAGAGAAAATGGTCATGACTATCTGCCCCATAGTTTTCTTGCACTCCAATATCTCTACCAGTTCATCTAGACACCAGCTTGACGAAGCATAGTTCTCGGAGAGAATCACGATCAAGATCCTCGATTTTCTTATAGCTTCGGTGAGTGAAGGAGCTATCTCCTGGCTTCTCACAATCTCTTGATCGTCAAACATAGTGATCCCGTTGCGTTTAAATTGTTCGCGCAGGTGACCGAGAAGTGTTTTACGGGCGTCAGGCCCGTGGAAGCTCGAGAAGACGTTGAATTTGTAGTTGCAAGACGCAAAGGAAGAAGCAGACGCCATGAGATACGAGCTGAGAGAGATGTGGAAAAGATAGTGAGATGTTTGTTAGATAAATAAAAGCACATATTGTTTGGCCAAAAGAAAAATTTGATACTTTGAAGTCAATGTGTTTTTATTTTTATTTTGAAACTATGAAAACGTGTAAATACAAAGCGATGCGTCTTTTTTGACTACTGGGGCAGTTGAATGGAGTTGTTAAATGGTGGTTGCTGGTCCTTTATTTTATTTTTAAACACGGTTGTTGGTCCTTTAAGTTTGTAAAATACAAAATGAGTCGCATAAACTATGGTTTTTCACATATTTTTTAGAGTCGCAACTCGCAAGGACTTTTAAAATGAGGATCTGGTTTCTCTATAGTCGTAGGAAACTATAAACTTGTTCCCGTGGCTGTTTCACATTTGAAAGAGGTTTTTAGTAAACTTGAGATTGAACCGAAACCAAAGCTCTCGTGAAGAAGATGAACACAAGAGAATCTGGAAATTATAATTGTTTCTGTTAATTGTAAATGTTGATGTACAGAGAGTTATATACAAAGTAAACCATCCGGTACAAGCCGGTTCTAACTAAACCATAATCTAAATGTGTAAACCACATCATCATACTTAATAGAGGTTATGCAGGATTTTAAACAAAAAATATTTTGTGCCAGGTAAACTTGGCAGCTTCTTTATGGCTTTCTCAGCCTATGGCCGCTTCTTTATGGCACCAATTGTTTTTAGTTTTAAGTTTTTGTAATTGCTCCATTTTTATCCTTTCCGAGATTTTAAAGTGGTCACATACAGAGGTAGGTATCGCCATTTCACGTATCGGTTGGATTCAGGGCCGTATCTGACTTTTTGAGGCCCATAAACAAAAATAAATTTGGCCCTTTATTATAATACTTTTTGCAAAATGGTAGAAAGTATAAATCTAACCCACCACCAAATTGAACAAAAGACACTACACAGCCAGCTGAACCAGCTAATCTTTGGTCAAATTGGGTCCTAAAATATAGTTAACTTTGTTGGCCCCGAAGCACATGCTTGATGGGCTTGTATTCAGGCATGGTCCTGGTTAGATTCCGTTCGGGTTAGTCAGAACTCTCATATATATATATATATATATATATCCGATTTGAGTGCTGTTAATGATAAACTGAGTTTTACCAATTTCTGAATTCGGTTTCAAGTGTTTTTGAGTTTTTGTGTCTATTAAGTTTTTTTTTCAGGTTGAAACATATTGGAAGGGAGTTCTGGACACAAAAAGCAAAATAAGACAAAAATAGAGTTACTAATTGTTTGATAGAAGAGTCTCTAAAGTTATTTTGAAAAAAAAAAATAATATGGTTCGAGGAAACCACATAAATAAATTTATTAAAAAGATTAGAAACATCTAAAATCCAAAATTACTTTGGGTTCAACCTGATCTTAGATATGTAATTAAACCTAAAATAAATCCGAACTGAAATTTGACTAACCCGATCCGAATCCAATACGAATAGTATTAAAAGTTTTTTTTTTTGGGCAAAAAACAGTGTTAAAAGTTATAAACCCCAAAACTTAAATGAATCCGAACCGAAACACCAAGATTGTGCAGTCCTTGTTTTAGGTTATTTATGGACGTGATGAAGTAATAATTTATGATTGTTTAAATCTGTATTTACACAGAACCCCTATATTATATAATAAAGCTATTTTTTTATGATTGAGCCTCAGGCTTAACGAGTGTGCCCGTTTATAAAATGTTTAAGAAAAAGAACAGCACTGTTTTATAATATAAACTTAATCAGAAACAAGAAATCATAGAAATAAACTTAAAACAAAACTATAAGTCTAAATTTAACCTTTCTATGGACCATAAAGTCCAAAAATTAATCCTAAACAAAGTTTGCGTCAACTATTGATGTACGAGCAAAACTGCTTGACGGAACTAGTAAATAAAGAATCGCTGAACTGTTTAAAGACGGCTTGTGTACAGTCTTCATCGATCTCAACAATGGCTTTGCAACATTCTGGTCCTATCGTAATTTGACGGTTGAAGAATGACCCGACTATCTCAGCTATGCATGCCTCACCGTCTCCGAGGTCAGGGAAGCACCTCCTAGCTAGCTCGCTATTATTATCTCTACCTATTATTCCAGCAAAGATAGAAGGGAGCGAAAATGGAAGTGAAAATGGTATCGGAAGGGGAAAGGGAAACGGAAATAAGGAGAATGATGTTACTGTTTGAGGTGCAAGAGAGAATGAGAGGAGAAGAATGGCTATGAGAGAAACTGATTTCATGATGATGATGAAAGTATTGGTATAATATATCAAGCAAATGTAAATGAGATAATGGTTTTGATGCTTCGAACTTGGTGAAACCTGGAAATTATTTTAGGGTTCTGTATTTATAAGAGAGAAAAGGACTAGAAAATCTTTGATAGGAAGATCTTTTTGTTACACTAAAATATGAAAGAGATCTTTCAGTTTCATGTGTTTAAAAATAAAAATCTTTCAGTTGCATTATTCTAGCGTTTTCAGAAAACATGCAGCAACAAAACTAGATGAATTTTACTCCAACGTTCTTTTTTTTTTTTCTTTTACTCCAACGTTCACTTATTGCATGTCTTCAAATACACGTAAAGTATTCAGATTATTAATCTATTTTTATGCCTATAGTCCATTATGAATTTATGAAACAACAATCCCCACCGATGGTGGAAACGTCGCGAGTCAGAAGTTTCTCAAAAGATCAAACCAAAAGCACAGGTGTTCTCGAAATTTTTTGCATGATGTTGGAACATGACTAAAACAAGATAGGCCTCAACCGGGCCAGTCCATCACAATAAAATACTAAAACTGGTACGTTGATAAAATTTGAAGACTAGTTCAAAACTAAGTAACCTCACTTTTTGCAGTTCATGATCTGGTCTTCACCAAATGCATAGAGGTGATGTATGGATATGACGCTACGTTGCTGCATTTTACTATATATGCACATGCTTGTGTTTGCATTATGCTTCATAGTTCATTACTAAATTATTGAAATTAAAAGGCATTTTCTATTAGTCATATCATATATAGATCATGCTTAAACTCCAACCTCTAATTATAGTCTTCTCCATGTTCCTCATCGTACAATGTCTCACTTATCATGCCAACTCAAATTCACCCCTGAAACACGCTGAAACAACGGTTCGAGACTCTTGCGTTAACTCTTGTGCTCAGCCGCCACCACCGAAGAAGGTTTACTGCAGAAGGTCGTCATCACCTCCACCTCCGGGAAATTACATGGACGTGACTGGTGTGCCAGGGGAACTGTACCGGACCGAGCCAGATAATCAATGGGGATACTATTCTAGTGCAAACCGGATTAAGGTTAAGTCTCTCCTGGTTATTTTAATTGTGGCATGTTTGGTGTTGTTATAAATGTATGAGAAAAAATGCTATTACAATGCATGTTCGAGTTATTGACCTGATTATATATACTATTGTCTAAAGTGGTGTTTGGATGTTAGTAAAATTGACTTTGGTATAATTGACATTAGACATGCAAAAACTCCACTACCAAATTAACAATAACTATAAAATATGTTTAAATATCTAATATTATCTTTTTCCTGTTGACATTTTGATCAATGTGATTCATTCTCTAGAATTTTATTGTTTTGACAAAGAACACTGATTTGTAATGACCGTTAATGTAAGACCGAGTCACATTCTAATTTTGGTAACTTCAGTTTTCTCCTTGGATTGGCCTAATTTAAAGCATGGCCTCAGCTTCTTCACATTCAAATCTCTTTATATAACTCTATACAATCATCTACTTCCTTCGATACCAAAAGAACACAAAACTATAAATCAATGGCTGACGCAACCGAAAAAGCTGAGCACGACCGTATTTTCAAGAAATTTGATGCTAACGGTGATGGAAAAATCTCTGCCTCCGAGCTTGGAGATGCTCTAAAGAACCTTGGCTCGGTCACGCACGATGACATCAAGCGTATGATGGCTGAGATTGATACCGATGGGGATGGATACATATCGTACCAAGAATTTTCTGACTTCGCAAGTGCTAATCGTGGTCTCATGAAAGATGTCGCCAAAATTTTCTAAGCGAGATATTAAATTCTATATTCATATGAGATTTTAATCATGTTTAATTTGTTTTTGTAATGACAATCATTTGATTAAGTAAGTATGTTTTATTATGTTTTCATTTCATGTAATGGAATTGTAATGATATAATTGAAGAATTCTCCATTCTTTTTAGTGTTTCGTTTTAGCGTGGGCTGGCAATGTTAAAGAGATTTGCTTCTAGACAATAGTGATTTACTCATTTAAACAAATATTGCAAATAATGTTCCAGGTAAATTATAAATATAGCAAAACTTTATCGTAAGAACTATAAAAAACAATAGTAAAATTGCATTAAGAGATTAAAAAAAATGTACAAATAAAATTTAGTGTTAAATTTCTTCCTTTTATAAAGTAAGTTGATTTAGGTCGATTTCAACATAGTATATACCGTCTTATCAACAAATCCGTCGTAGTCTAGCTGGTTAGGATACTCGGCTCTCACCCGAGAGACCCGGGTTCGAGTCCCGGCGACGGAGATTTTTTTATTTTTACTTTTCGTTTTTACCCAGAAAACATGTTAGACAATATTGCTATAAGTAACCCTTAGATATATCGAAATAAAATGTGAGTCAAGACTATAAAATTTTAGATGACTACCAAAGCCAAACGGGTATTAAGTACACAAACAAGTCAAAGAAACATCACTTTCTCCTTGGACATATATTTGCCTTGAAAGGGTTTTTCATAACCATAGTAATGAACTGTTGCTTCTCAGACAGATCAACCTCTTCACCTTCCACACATTTCCACTCAAACTTCCAAACCAAATTGGCCACATAGTATTCAAGGTGAAGCAGCGAAAGGCCGTAACCAGGACACATCCTTCTTCCCGCTCCAAACGGCATCATCTTGATCTCACGAGTACCGGTCATATCAAACCCTTCTGCTTCTCCGTTCTCTAGAAAACGTTCAGGCTTGAACGTTAAAGGATCCTCCCATACTTTCGGGTCACGTCCCATTTTTCCTACCATGAAGTTTATAGTACCTAATCCAAATACAAATCAAATAACAATCATGTCACAAAGAGTTTCATGGACTGAGCACAACACATGAAACCACAATGTATGCAGAACCGGTCCTAAGCATAGCTGTAAACATTGATCTTGAATCCCCAAATTTTTAACTGTTAATACGAATATACTCCCTCCGTTTCATATTAAGTGTCGTTGTAGAGTTTTTTAGCGTTACAAAATAAGTGTCGTTTTCGGTTTTCAATGCAAAATTTATTAATTTTATTATGTAATTTGTTTTTCTATTGGTTAAAATATGGTTAGGTGTACGGATAACTGTGTTTTTATATAGGAAATATGTAAAATTAATTGTTTCCTTAATCCGTGTGCACAGCTGTAGAGTGACACTTATAATGAAACAGAGGGAGTATATAATTTTCTTTTTGAACAACTTATGAATATATATATAATTAATAAACAAAAAATTGTTAATTTCTTTTACTAAATTGGCTTTGGACACACACTTGTGGTGCATGTTTAACTAAACAATTATTAGATTTAAAATATTGTTACTACTATATTACTAGTTCTTAATCAGCTATAATAACAGCCCACCTACATATATAACGGTAACTTACCTTGGCGGGGAACAAGGAAGCCACCCAAAACGGTGTCGTTAGTAACCTTATGGTAAGACAAGTAATGACCAGGTGGATGTCTCCTCAAACTCTCCAAGATCACAGCTTTGAGATAACTCAGCTTCCCCAAATCCTCTTCTTTAATCTCTCCCCCTTCTTCTTCTCCCTCCAAAACACTCTTCATCTCCTCGTACACTTTCCTCTGTATCTCCGGATACTTCACCAAGACCGCCAAGATCCACTGCATCGCCGTGGCAGTAGGATCCGTCGCCGCGTTAAGAAACTCCGAGCAGAGACTCACTATCTCCGACTCACTCAGCTTCCTCTTCTCCCCATCGTCCTCAATCTCGAGACTCAGCAACGTGTCGACGTAACAGAGAACATCTCCCGTTGTTTCTTTCCCTCTAGAGTTCACGAATTTGAGTAAGACGCTCTCCTGAGAGTTTCTGAGGTTTAGAAACTCTTTCCACTTTCGTCGGAGTAAGAACTTTGTGACGCTTGGGAAGATGTTGAGGACGCTGAACTTTGTGTAGCTTATGAGCATCATGTACTGAGCTTCTTCGATCTCTCTGATCTCTTCTCTTTTTAGTTTCTCTCCGAAACACATCAGAGCGAGAAGACAGAACATCGCGTGTCGGAGATGATCCAAGGAGTTTAAGACGTGTCCTTTCTCTCTCTGCTCCGTTTCGAAGAGATTAACGAGAATCTCTAAAGCCCATTTTCTAGACGGCCCATGGGCCTTTACACGGGCCGGCTGGAGGATTTCGGAGGTGAGGTTCCGGCGGAGGGTTCTCCAGAGGGGGCCGTAGACGGAGGAGTGGATGTCGTGCTGGTTGCTTGTGATGACACGTGTGGTGGGGAGAGCGAGAGGACGGTCGGAGAAAACGGCGCCGTTTTGGACGAGGGCTTCGTGAGCGAGTGTTCGGTCTGTGACCCATATGGACGGTTTTGAGCCCACGTGGAGGGTTATGATTGGTCCGTGACGGGAGGATAAGTCACGGAGGACGCCTTGGAAGTCTGAGAAGCTGTTTTTCTTGAGCCAGATGATGTTTCCGATCACGGGGAAGCGAGGTGGGCCCGGGGGGAGTTTGTGGGGAGGTGAGAAGAAGATGAGTTTGATGAAGATGGAGAAGGAGAGGGAGGTGATGGTGAGGAAGATGATTGTGATGATCTCCATTGTTGCTTGCTTTCAAAGTGAAGGAGTTGATACTTTTATAACTTAGAAGAAAAATGTATGAAAATAAAAATCTGTAGAGATTCGATAAAGATGTGTTATTATCATGTGGCTGAGATTATCGACAAGTACTATGTGTCTTTTATGGAGCGGACCATCTTGGTTTGAATTCATGTGAAATCACTATCGAACCAAGTGTTTAATAATTTCATCTTTTGTTTACATTTTCTAGACCGTTTGCATGACTTTTGAAGCAGATATTTCTGTAAACTGTCCACGCAATATGTGGTCATCACTCTTTGTCTCTTTGTGTTGTGAATGTTAAGACATGTGTGAGATGTGGTCACTCTTCATTTAGTAGAGTTGGATCATCGGAAAAGGAACTTTAAATCATGCATACAACGAAAGAAGAGTTGGCCTAGTGGTTAGAACTCTTGGATCATTTAGTATGAGTATTTGTGTTTTCTTTAACTTAAGTTCTGTGTTGTTGTGTTATGAGTGAAATATATGTCCTGTGATTAACTGTGTAACGAGTAATCTGTTATAGATTTCGTATTAACGTTTTAGTTAAGTGAGTATGTGTATAACAACAACAAAGTATTCGAGAAGGAACTATGACAAGTGAGGAATGATAAACGTGTACGCTTCTCCTTGTGTTTTCTTGTCCGTTGCAATCGGCGTGTAATAAATCCAGAGCTTAGCATTTTCAGTTACTTTGTAAGCTTGTAGCTTATGTGGCTTCATGCTAATTATTTAGCTGCATTTTTCATTGCTATCTATTTACATTTAACATAATCAAGTTTTGGTTTAGATAGGCCAACAGAGAATATATCTCACACACGAGAAAAGGATGTGATCTTAATCACATGAAAAGAATGCAACTATGTTTTTATCAGTACACCAGTTTATGCTAGCTCTAAATGAGAAGTTGGTGGATATGGAAGATGATTGTTTGGTGATCACACTTAGCTTAAGACCTTTGTTTTATATACCTCTGCCTTTTTTTCTGGTTTAAATCTTATATTTGTTTTGATTTGAAACTATTGAAGGACCCTTTTGGAAGAGATTTATGTGGTTGGCTTTGCATAAAAGGACATTTGACATTTTATTTGTATGGGTGAAAATGCAATCGTACATAAACATATCTTCATCACAGAGTTTCTTGAAGCTATTTGGTTCCTTGATGCAAGTGATTACATCACATTATACTGCAATTTGGTGAAGACTCAAGCATCTCTGGAGACCTGTGGGTAACACAGACACATGAAACATTAGTTTTTTTCTCTCTTAATTTCAAAAAAAGCAACTGAGAAAATGATATTAAAAAAGGATAGGGGGCTCACATTTGGCCTAGACTTGCGAAATCAAACCCTGGATCCATCTCTTGAACGATATCATTAGGTGGTTGTCCACACTCTTGCATCTTCTGCATGATCTCCATAATCTTAGTTGAATTGTTCGGTTCATCCTCGTAAACCGCATTGAGTTCTTTGATCAGTTTGTACTGTTGCGAATAGCGGTTATAGTCTTCTTTGCTTATACTGCCTTCATTCTCCTCTAGCCATTTCGGATATCTTGCACCAATCTCCTTCATTGGTTCGTACAGAATATCCTTCGACAATAGCTGTTGCATCATCGTTTCCACTATTGATTCCAAGTCCTATGCAAAAAAAAACAACAAGAGGATAAGAGTCAAAGCAAAAGACACAAAGCAGAACCATATCTACCAAACACAGGACAAGAAGCACACTCTGGTTATACTAATCTCTACCTGAGATCCAGCCATACTCTCGAATTGCTTGAGAAAATCCTCAACCATAGCATCATCATCACCAGAACCTGGCTGCTGCTGCTGCTGCTTGGAAGAGATAGATTCCAAGCCTTTAACAGTTTCTCTAGTTTGTTCCCTAAGCTTATCAAGAGCTTCAGCAACATGATCCTCTTTAGAGACTTTCTTTTTTCCCTTGTTCTTGATTCTCATATCAGGTAACCCCATTCCAAGACCTTGAACTCCACTAGGCAATGGAGACGGCTCTTGCTTCTTCTCCTTATCCACTTCTCCCTCTTCCCTGTGATTTATATTACATCAAAACCCATAATCTCTAGACTTAACCAAAACACGTAAACAGAGCTATTCATAACCGAAACTAAGACGGAAAGTATAAGACTTTGGAGCTATAAACAGAGAAGAAAGACCAAAACATGTAAACAGAGCTAATCAAAACCTAAACTAAGACATAAAGTTTGAGACTTTGGAGCTAGAAACAGAGAGAGCAAAGATAAAAGAGTAACCTTTGCGCAAGATTGAGATCTTTGAAATCATCCAATGCACCTGAGACACAGAACAACAGAGTGAATCAATAAAAAAAACCTATAAAGTCAAAACCTTTTCAACAATCAGGATAAATGGGCAGAGACACAATTCTGAATTACATAGAATTATAGGAAACTCATTACTGGATGAATCACGAGGACTTACTATCGAGAAGCTCGTCTAAGTCATCGGTGTGATTGCCCGCCATTTTCTTACGGCGTTTTTTGGTCTCTGTGTGTGTGAACAATTGGGCAGATTGGGAAGAAGGAATCTCAGAAGATTGACAGAAGAAGAAACCTTTTGGTTTTGCCTTGTTTAGAGGCGGTGTGATTGATATGAGGCTTCTCTTGGAGGAGTCACGGTGAATCTCAATGTCTCGATCCAACGGTTGTGATCACTTTATCGATTTAATTATTTAAATGTCTCCATCCAACGGCTTCAATCACTTCCTCGTTTTAGTATTTTCCGATAAACAAATACACACAAAAAACTATTTTTTTCCCAATTTGCTTACCGAGTTAGGTTATTATTAGGCCCATTAAGCGTTTTGCAGCACGAATGCCTCAAGTTACTAAAGTGGCCTAAATACTATAACGAAAGCCCATTAATTGTTTTACATAAAAAGGTAAAATGTTTTTACCGGTATGAAATAATCAACCGTATAAATTGTCTAAACTAACCAAAAGCCAATTCGCATTTTGACTTTTTTAAATCCAAATTCAAATTTCCTAATCTTAAATCATATTTACTTTCAGTTCGGTAAACGGTAATTCTTTCCTCTGCCGTAACTCCGACCCAGAAAACTCGAAACTCCTCCACCAGCTTAATTCGCCGCCGAATCTGACGACGTAGTCGTCTTCTCTCCTCCTCCCTCATCTTCTACACGCCGAGAAGTCCCTACACCCGCCGATTCTTCATCCTCTTCAATCTCCCGAAGTATATCCGCTACCAATACCACGTCACCTGAGTTCCGATTCACTTGATACTCTCCTCCTCTAGCCCCCCGAACTTCCGACGGTTTCGCCGTCGTTCCGCCGTCCACGTCACCAACAACCGTATCACTCCGAGATCCGGTTTCAAGATCTAAGTTAACGACGATCGAAACCGAGTCAATCCCTGCGGACTCTGTAACGATCGTTTGATCGGATTCAACGGCGTTAGTGACGACGGTTACGCTGATCCCGGCGCGACAGAGAGGGCAGTTAGAGTGAGACTTCAACCAAGTATCAATACAAGGCGCGTGAAACGCGTGGCTGCATTTAGGCAACAGTCTCAGACTCTCCTCCTCGCGAAACTCGCTCAAGCACACTGAGCAATCCGAAGATTCCACGATTCCTTCTCCCTTTCTGTATTTGTAAACCTTAATCGATTTGATCAGAGTCTCGTCGAGTCCATCCCCGTTGCTTCCCCGCCACGTGTCGGTTACGGAGGAAGAGATGATGGCTCCTGAGGTTGTGGAGGAGGATGAGGAGTCGCTTCGGCGGTGGCAGTATTTGGAGATTAGCGTGTAGTAGGTGATGAGGATGAAGGCGCTTGCGAGGATTCCGATGAGAGCGATGAGGAGGGGGGAGAAGTTGGAGGAGGAGGAATCTTCGTCGTCGAGGAAGAAGGAAGGAGGAGGAGGTGGGAAGATGATGTAACACCATTGAGGGCAGTAGACGCTGCATAGTCTTTGTGAGCAGTCTCTGTATGAATCGTATTGACCCCATGGGTTAGGGTTTTCTGTAGAAAACATTGATGGTGTTTCTGTTGCAGAAAAGAGAAAGAGGGAGGGAGGAAGAAGTAGCGAGATGTGAAGTGTCTTTATTTTCCTTGTGTTAATTAATATCATTGTATGGATAATTTAATTACATTTAATGAATGTTTATGATGGTAATACTAATTTGGCTAAGTAAGTTCTTTGTTAAATCTAGAAGTAGAACTAAAAGGTACAGAATTTGCTTTATTTATTTGTTCTTTAGCTTTTTCTTTATTCTTCTATTTTTTTATATTTCTTTTGAAGTAAATAATATGCACACCTTGAGATTTTGGTTATTGGATTCAGTGGAGTCAATTTCTAAAATTTTAACAGCCAAATATAAATATGATAGTACTTGTTACCTTATGATCATACCTCTCTTATGTTAAAACTTAAAAGCATTGAAAGTTCATTTTGAGTAAAGAAAACGTTAGTGTTTACCAAAAAATGGAGAGGAGGTTTAGTCTTTTTTTTTTCAAGGCATAATTAACTATGGTTGGTGAAGTGTTGACGAAGGTGGAATACTTGAACATGGGCCACATGGATGAACAAAGTTATCCACGTATCTATATAGATTTTGTGGTCAGAAAGCACAGTCTAGTTACATCGGAAAACTCAATACTATGATATGATGTGAATGTCACCGTCTGTTACAAATTCCACAAAACTATTACAAATATCACAAATGTCTTTGTTTACCTTAAGAAAAACAAAGGGATATAAGCGACAAAAATAATACAAAACAATAACTATAGCCAATTATTACTCAATAATATAATAAAACATGAATCGCAGAATTTGATTAAACTGTATCGAAAGACTCGAGGATGGATCTGTTCTGTAGTCAGTAGTCACACTAACTCTAAACTCGACCTTTTCTGCGTTCGTCCAGTGCCTGCCTCACGAGAATGCAAGTTTGTTAAGTTGCAATTAATTAATTTAATTATATAGGATAACACAATTAGATAGAGAACAACATGATTAAGCTAGTTTGAGTAAAAAACATACCTTGCTTTGAAGCATTCTCATCGTCAAGACTAGCGTATCACGCATGCTGATAACCAAAAACGCAAACATTCATGATTCTCGGAGAGGGTTTCTAAAAGAAAGTTTGCAGTGAAATCAAAAGTAAAAGCAAAAGAAAGAGAGATGTTATATTATTATGTACCGAACGTTAGGAGTTATTATAGGATGTGAAGATCCATCATAACTTATCAGTACAAACTGTGTTGACTCTCCACACGGTACTTTTATCTGCAATTTTGTTTTCATGAAAACACATTCTATTAACAATTAACAACAACAAAGTTTGTTTTTAAGTTTCAATGTGAAGAGATTGTTTTTTACCAGGAGCTCCTTTGAGTATTTCTCTGAGATCACCACAGCTTCTGCGTTATTCGTTTTAATCTGGTAACTAGATCTTTTCAAATTAACAGTCGCAGGCTCCCAACTCTCTGTTGAATCCATCTATCAAAAAAAAAAAAAAACAGAACCTCGGTTATTAAATCAACAGCTGAGTTAAAATCCAAGACAGTGGATTCAAGCTTTACCAGGAGCTGCACATTGAAACTTGCTTGACCTCGTGATATATATGTGTCGATCTCTGTTTGCATCTCTGCATCTGTTGTATAAGCAAAAACATTTTCAGCTGCGTATTCAATCACTACAACAAAACTGTATGTGTTTCTGCTGAATACATTACCACATCTAATCTTGTTTTGATCATTAGCAAACAGCCTCACTAATTCACCCTGCATAATCAGATAGAAAAGAATCAAGACAACTGATCCAAAAACATAATACCTTTTTAGGTACCCGTTGGTAATTTACCTGACGACCTTGATCATCCATTGGAATACACTCAACAGCAATAAGTTTGTCTACATCATCCGCGGTTACAATATACTCTGGATGGGTTGCTCCTGAATATTTTAAACACATAGTTCAGTATCTGAATAGCTGAGTAAGACAAGTAAATCAAAACCTTACCCTCGATGTATTGTCTTGTGCCATCTTCAAGATGCCGAACCCACTTTTTTCAAGAAGACAAACATTTAGTCCTGACGTTTGTTTTTAAAGACTCTTATTAACAACAGATTTTTACCTGAAACATACAAAGAGTGGTTCCTCGCACTGGAAACCCGCAACCAAGAACTTTTTCTCCAGGTATTGCCTCTCCAATAATCTGAAATCCATCGATTCCAGGCCCCTCTGTCTCCAAAAAAAGATCAGGTTAAGGTTTATAAACAGATAGCCACTATGGAGAAGTTTGTTTCAAACCTTCATAAACATGAGAAGCGTATTCTTCATTCCTGTTAAAAGGATCAAACATGGAAGAGCTCTCAGCTTTTTCTTCCCTCTCTCTGATCATTTCCTTTCCAGCCACACTACTTAGAGGATATCCAAAACTTTCCCTACAACAATAGAGATATGATTATTGTGGCTACAAACTGAAGCTGATGAAAAAATTTCTAACATACCTTTTCGGCTGCTGAAGAACTCCTTGTGATCCACCTCCAATCTGATTATGAAATCTCAAGCTTTCAGTCTCTTGAGCAACGTTATGATACGGGTTTCTAGTAACATTGTCCATTGGTGGCAATAGTTGTTCATTGACTCTGTAATCATTAGTACCATGATCCTGCATCAAAGATAGTATATGAACACACACAAAGTAAGATTCCTACGGAGAAGATATCACATGGTTTTAGGAAAAAGTCCTAAGAGCAAATGATAAGTAATTTTTAGCAGATTACTTGCTGAGACTACCGTGGATCCATAAGAAGCTTGACCTTTCGAAATTCTGGGATCATGGTTGTTGTCTTTACTAGTAAAATCTGTTCCTGATGACATTTCCCTAATCCTATCCTGCTATCCAAAAATTTCGTCACAACCAGTTCAAAAATAAACCCTTAACAATACACTAAAGGGCAGAGAGCTTACATTGCAAACTTTAATCTTCCATTGCAGCTGATCATGCAAGTGCTACATAGGAAGAATAATTACAGATTAAGATTATTAAGTGTAGAAAACTATGAAGATAGATGTAGTGAAAGAACCAACCTTTATGCCGGTGGATATAGCAGTAGCATTTGCAACACGTGGCCAAACGCCATACTCAGCTAATAAACCAAGTAAGGACGTCATAAAAATATACCTCTCGTCTTCTGTAACCTGAAGATATAAAGTGAGAGAAGTAAACACGGAAAGGTAAAAGGCAATAATGAAGTTAACTTACCTTTAAATCATGTGCTAACTTCAAATTTTCTTCAAGATCACCTTTTCTACGAGCAAGTTCATTCAAAGCTGACGTAACAGATTCATTCTGCTTCTCATCAATCGCCTAAAGGAATAATAAAATATCTTTTAGTCAAACCCAAAAGCCAAAGATGAACACTTTCCATCAATCTTTCAACGAAAAAAAAATCAAAAGACAAACCACTCGAAGATCAGCACATTTTCTCTCTAACCCACACTTCTCATTAAGCAGCTGCATATCCTGTAATCAAAGATGCAATTCACTTTTCTGATTGCAAGATCCATGATGTTATTTATTATTACATACCTTCAAACAAGCAGCAGCAATCTGTTCCTGGAGATTGTGAATCTCTTCTTCTTGTGATCTCACTCTTGAGTAAAGTTCCTGCTTTTTAAAAAAAAAGCTCAATCAGTAAGTCTAATAAGATTTCTCCAAAAGTGAGAGAAGAGAATCAATCAGTACCATTTCCTCAGGATCTTGAATTGACTTTGAATTATTCTCTTCTAGCTTCCTCGAACCACTAGTTTCTTTCTCAGTATCATGCCTATATAGAGAGAGATACACAGATCGAGATCAATCCACTAAACATGGTTACTAATCAAAAACGATTCTGGATTTTTTTAAAGACAGAACAATACATACCTCTTGGTTGGATCAGAGCTTCGGTCGTGTTTGAAGCTCGGATTCAAGGACATGTCGGATTTGCAAACTCGATGATTTGGTGTCTTGTTTCTCTGAGAACCCCCAACTACAATCATCAACAGCCAATTTTCATATCCACAAACATTTTCTTAAAAGCCCCTCAAACTAATCAAAATTTACACGATATCCCCATGAACTACCAAAAAGTAGTTATATAACCTCGTCTTAACTAACAACACGATTTAAAATGAGAATAATTGTAACCTGATACGAAGGAACCAATCCGAGCTCAGATTCTTCACTTCCAATTCTGGACAATTCTAAAATAACATGAATGATATACCTAAACAAAGTTTTATACCAGAAAATATACAACTGTAAAAAGTAGCTTTTAACACGTTTTTAATTGAAATGCATGTTATTTTATTTGTCTTATAAAGTGGGAGCACATGACTTAGCGAAACTTCTCTTCAATTCCAACTGAAAGTCTTTTTAGTTGACTTATAATTTTCATCTGAGAAACAATACCAACTTACCAAGAAGTTCTTTGATTTAGGTGGGAGACCATGAGTTTGAAAATCTGTTTTGCTTCATTCAATTCCATGGAAAAAGTCTATTACTTGACTTTTGATTCATAATAACCCCATGGAAAAGTCAACCGGATTAAACCTTGCCTGGCCCAAACCGTCCGGCCCATCAAAGGTTAACCGGCCCAACCAACTTTTTAAAAAATTACAAAATTGTTTGGTCAAACTAACTAATCTAAACCGATCGGTACAAGATTTCAATTTATCCAAAAAATCCCGATTCGCCGATCTAGAAGACGACGACGACCAACAAACTCCGAATCTCCGAAGAGTCACCGCATCGTCGTGACCTTCAAGCTTCTCAGAAATGTCACAGCTAGTCACCGGCAACAGTATCCCTCTCAGTGAAGTCTACTGGTCTCTCGTCAACAAAGCGGATAAAAAATTCTCCAAAATCAGAGACTTACCTTTCTACGAACGCAGCAGGTATCTATCTCCTTCTCCTTCGCATTAGATCGTTTGATAATAGGTTCGTTGTTCTTATATGAAATTGTTTGCTTAGAGAATGATAAAAAGGAAACCGTAATCAATGGAAATTGAACTCGGAATCAGCAATTCAACTCTCATATGCCATGAGTTTTTAGCAGTAGAAACAACTCAAGAAACAGAGATGAGGAATTTTCCCGGAAAACACACAGAGAAAATAGGAGCAAAAAAGTTTGTTACAGATATTTTCGATGAATTAATTGCTGACGTGGCTCAACTTATATTGTTTCAGCGTTCATTTCCCTATATCAGAGGAATCAGTACACGTGTTTTTATGTGTGTGTTTTCCAGGTATGAAAACTATTTCTTCAAGGTGTTCAAAGTGTACACACAGCTTTGGAAGTTTCAGCAAGAGAATCGTCAGAAGCTTGTGGAAGCTGGACTCAAGAGATGGGAGATTGGAGAGATTGCATCTCGGATTGCGCAGCTTTACTATGGACATTATATGCGTACGAGTGATGCTGGTTACTTGGCTGAGTCCTATGTGTTCTACGAAGCGATTTTGACTAGAGAGTATTTTAAAGATGGGTTGTTTCAGGATGTCAATATTGCGAACAAGCAGCTAAGGTTTCTTGCGAGGTTTCTTATGGTGTGTTTGGTGTTAGGCCGTCGAGAGATGGTGCATCAACTCGTTGAGCAGTTTAGACGGTTGATTGATGAATGCAAGAGGACTTTCCAGGTTTTTGTTTCTCAGCCTACTTTCTCTTTGTGAGTTTTAGACTTTTTTTAGGTTGTTGATTCAATGGGCAATGATGACACTTTCTGTTGTAGCGGTTTGTTTGCCTTATAAGAGAAGAGGGGCCATACTGCATTGGTTTTTGTAATCGTTAGTGCTTTTTATTGGCAATTCACACTGCTAGAATCACGAACAGAAGTTTCTTCTTTGCCAAAAGTGCAATTTAAAGTGGTTAGTGCAGCATGAATCTAGAATTGAGGTATAATCATAGCATGTACATGGACGGACAGGATATCATAAAGATCTAAGGAAACTATGTGGTTAGCTCTGTTTGATGTAATCGTCTATGCTTTTTGATATATAGAGTGGGCTAAGATGCTTCTTGATTGTCAAAGTTAGATGTCTTATTTTCCCACGCATCTCTGTTTTCGATTACTTACTATACAAATATTTCATGTTATCAGGAAACTGATTTTAAAGAATGGAAAGTGGTGGCGCAGGAAGTAGTTAGATTTCTAAAATCTGACACTGCTTTCATGAACATCAGACCTCTAAGATACAGCCTTGTGCTGGATCCTAACCTGGATGCTAGTACACCTCGTGCAAGTAGGTCTTTAAGGCTGACAGATGCAATCTTGAGCAGTTATCACTACAATGAGGTAGTTTTTTACTTGTTCATGTTTGTTATGAATGCCTTTTTATTATCTTTTCCCTCTAAAATTTGTAATCTTGCTGTATGATTTTAACCAGGTCAAGTATTCAGAGCTCACACTTGATTCATTCAGGATGCTTCAATGTTTAGAGTGGGAACCGAGCGGTTCCTTATACCAGTCAACTGGTCCCAAAATGGGTCCGAATGCTCCTACTGGAGCTGCTCGCATAAACTCTCAGAACATGACTGATCCTACTTTGCCGCCTAACCCTCGCAAAGCTGTCCTGTATCGTCCATCCATAACACATTTTTTGGCTGTAAGCTGAATTTACTTTTGTTTTGAGTCATCTCCACAAATTAGATCTCCGATTTTCGCTGATATATCTGAAACCTTGTTTTTTTCTTGGTAGCTTCTGGCAACCATTTGTGAGGAGCTTCCTTCTAATGGCGTACTTTTAATATACCTCTCTGCTTCTGGTAATGTGTGTATTATGTTTCTTTTGTTTAGAATATTACGTTTTTTAGCTTCTAACTTATACGTTTTTTCATTCAGGAAAGATTGGACAAACTTCCTTATCTCCTTTGGGTGGTAGAAGTGTAACTAGCGTTGAGGAGAATATTTTGAGAGACTTTGAGTCTCATACAATCAAACAAGAGGGAGACCCATCACTTCAAATAAAGTCATCTGGTGAAGCATCTGGTCAGTCTTTGAGGCAAATCAGCGAGGATGCAGTGAGTGCTCCAAGTGGTTTGTATTTTAGCAGTCATGGACTCACAGGTATGTACTCCTCTTGAAGCTTTCATGTAAACAATAAACATCCACCTGATATTATCACATCTAGCCTGGTTAGGACGAGATTTGGAGGTTGATAACATAAAATGTCCTATAGATAGTAAGAAGGATCAAGCAATATCAAGAAAATGTAAATATTGGAATATCTTCTGGAGTGAGAAACCACTTGTAAAACAAAGATCCTGGGCAAATTTAGACCATTGTGATCAGTCCAACTAGAGATTCTGAAATATACAGATACTTCTAAATCGTTGGACTCTTTTTCATTGAAAGGTAGAATTTTCTATTTCTTATGTCTCTCTGATATTTATCTGACATGTCTTTCCCCCAGGGCCAAGCTGCATCTATCCCTCTGATTTAGTTCCATTCACAAGGAAACCTCTTTTCATTATTATTGACAGTGATAACAGCACAGTCTTTAAGGTAACTACACCGGGTTCCTCTTTTTTATTAAGATCCATAATTTGAATACTTTTGTTTGTACAATAAGAAAACACTAATGTTTATTCACTTCAAATTTTGAAGAACATTTGTGGAGTAGAGAAAGGAGAACCAGCCGCATTGCTTCTGTCTCCATCATATACGCCTCCACTTATCTCTGCTGATTTCTCTCGTCAACCTAGTGGTAGCCTCTTCACAATTTTTCTCACAGCACCTGTCCAAGCATTTTGCTTGTTAATCGGGATTTCAGGCTCTGATATGGAAACGGTAGGTAGAGATAAATTTTTCTTTTTCTTTTTTCTTTTCTTGAACACATGGTAGAGATTGAATCTTCATTCTCGCTTTTATGCATCTTTTTCTTTTCTTCTTTTTGTCTGCATGCTAACTACTGTCATGTCTCAGGATGTTTTTACTAAGGCAGAGAGGGTTCTTTCCTCGTCTATGAATGAATGGGCTTCGACTTTGGCAGCATCAGATACCCTTCACCCCGTTTGGTCGCAGATTCTAAAAGATCCTTTCTTGAGACGACTTCTCCTAAGGTAAATGTTTCTCTTCCAAGCTCTAAGAAATGTTCAAGATCTCCCACAGTTCCAGCATCGGTACAATAACCACAAATCCTTTTCTCTAATGGAAAATTACAAGACTGGAAACTCATTTTTGGACATAGATCGTGTAGGAACTAGAAACCATAAAAATTGTTGGTATAGTATATTGAATGTTGTCGAACTCCGAACTCTCTGAACCTTTTAATCTAATCTATCTGTGGTTTTGGATTTTGTCTGCCTTCTACAGATTCATATTCTGCCGAGCTGTCTTGGCACTGTACACTCCAGTCCTAAATAACAAACAATATCAACCAGAGTGCTTTCCGTCTGTCCCGGAATCGCTATTACCAACCGCTCCTGCCGTTCAAGCCGCTGTGCTTCAGATGGCCAATGTATTTGGAGGAACAAGCAAGTTTACTCTACCTCAAGATATCACAATGCTCTAAAGCTTCCTCTAAGAGTAGGAAAAATTCTTGTGCAAATCGGTAAATCTCGGTTTGATTTCCCTTCCAAGGGGTTAACTATGATTTCAGATTTGAACTGGTCTTGGAGTCTGAGGACCGAACCTCTTTTGAGATTTATATGGCTCAAATACATTTTTCTGTGTGAAAACTAACAAAGTGTTTGATACATACATATGATTGATTGGCTCTGGTGTTATCTTCATTTGAAAAGAAAAAAATGGTTTTATAAAATCCACAGGAGCAAAATCATCCAAATGAGTAAAGAAACTAAGAATTTCAAACTTGAGAGAATTAAAGTTTCATGCAGCTAAATCCTTGATCATATCTTCCTTACTACTACCATCATTGATCCCCATCTTCATCTGCTCAGCCACAAAGCACTTAGTAATCACATTACAAAACAAATAAACAAACTTAACCGAGTCACGTGCCGGGACAGGATACGTAATCTTCTCAAAAAACTCCAACGGCACATTCGGATCAACAATCGCAACAACCGGAATCTGAAGCTTAGCAGCCTCCAAAATCACCGAACTCTTCCTCTCAGTATCAAACACAACAACACAATCAGGCATCGTCGTCGGACCAAAGCAAAGCTTCTTGTGCCTCGACCGAAACTTCTTAGGACTGTAACTGTTCGTCAAAAAGCCTCCCATCTTCCACAGATTCATCGAACGGTTGTGATTATAAGTGTCTCCCTGGATGCGACGTGAAGTGAGCTCGACGATCTCGTCGAAGAGAGGGTTGGTGTTGACGAAGTAGATGTTCCCTCTCATGTGCGCGAGGTTGGCGACGAAATTCGCGGCGCTGCGGAGGCAGATTAGGGTTTTGTCGGAGTCGATTATGGTCATTCCGTTGCGGGCTCCGTAAGCGTATTGTTTGAAATGGTGCTCGGCGGCGCGACGGCCGAGATGGGAGCCGGTGTTGAGGAGCTTCTGGATGACTGCCGCGTGGAGAGTCATTGTTTGATCGGAAAAAGCTATCGAGAGAGGTGATGAGACGTTAGGGTTTAAGAGGAGAACTGAATCAGATGTAGTGAGAGGTGCTGAAAAAATGGATGAAGCATTATCTGAGGTTAGAATCCGGGTCGGGTATGAACTATTGGCCCATTTCGGTATTCCGATATGTAAACCACAAATGTAAACCGTCGTTGACCAACCAAATAAAGTGTAAAGCTAATTCTTGCTACCAATTACATTGTATGCTCTGCTTATCTAAGCTAGTTTTGTTTAAAGACATGATCCAAAAACTCTGGTTTATCTTGGAGGAGTGCGGTGAACACTGGGTAAACAATTTGATTTCGTTCTTGATTGATCTCCAAATATGAGTAGATTCTTGATAAGAATCGCACAGTTTTAAACACATGATCCAAAGACTCTGGTTCATCTTCTTCTAGTTGATCGTTTTGGTGACAAAACCATTGGTTCAGTTTCATGTAATTGTTTTGGTAGTGAGGACAAGGTTGATGTTATAAAGGTTACTTTGTGTGTGTCGCTTATGGACGAATACAAAACAAGGTCTAGAGTCTAGACTGTACACTGTAGATCATGGACACAATTTGGGACGGCATGACACAATCTGGCTCTCTCCAAGCTCCTTGACAAAGTCCAGATTCAGTCCAAGGTAAATTTGGAATCAATGCAGCAGTGCTGTATATGGTTATGTAATCTTTAATAACATAAACAAGTAACTTGTTTTACACGTTAGGTCTAAAAACAAGTTGCTTATCTTTTTCAAGCAGTGTTGCCTGGCCGTCTTCATACACACCCCCAAACGACTAAAACTTTTATAAACGAGATGAATTTAAGCAACAAAGCTGTAGTCGACTAGTCGTTCTAGGGGAGTGCGTTCTTTTATTTAAACCAGGTCAAATACATTAAACAAAATTCACTCAAATCTGGTTCCACCATAACATGATAATGTCCCTTCGGGACATCTGATAAAATTGTGATGATACAGAAAAGATTAGTATGGTCCTGCGCAAAGATAACACGTACAAATCGAAAAATTGTCTAAATTTTTATTTAGCAAAAACATAACATGTTACTGTTATCATAACCATTCACAAAATTTTATTTAAAGATATATACATATAGTTATTACGTAAACAAGTAATCACCATTCACAATTCAAGAATCAGATTTTGGAAACGAGTTAATGAGCCATTAGTTGAAAGCTCTACAGTTACTCCTGATCTCACCAGCTAAGCCGGTAAGGACGTCAACAGTTCCCATTTTGACCATTGCGATTGCGAACTGGCGGTTGAATAGTTCGTTGTTGACAGCATATTGAAACACAACATCAGAAGTGGATGGGTGTGTCGCGAGCAGATGATCAAGTAGTAAAATTCCTTTCCTCTCTCTGATCTGAGTGAAAAACAAGTTGTCAAATGAGAATGGGGCAAATGGTGTCGACTGGTCCAGTGCTGCAACTTGGCTGCCTCCAGCTGAACATGTGTCCCTTAGCCTATTATGAGAAAATATCAAGTGAAATATATATTTGAGATTTTCTTACCAAAAAACAAATAATAATTAATCTATAACATGTAAATCAGTCTTTTCTTCATACAAGATATTGAAACTATGAACATGTATATAGTCTTGAACATCCTTGTCTTCCTCTTCTTAAAAAAATAGAATCTAAAATTATGGATATGAGCGTCGGGGTCACTTAGAGCAAACAAAAACTCCAATGAGTTATTCAAACAAAAAAAAATTATAATATTTTAACTAAAGTTGATTAAATTTTAAAATTAAACAAAAACAATCTACTGAAATAGACAAGTGAATCGGAATAAAAAGTTTTCACAGATTTCTCAAAGTTTATCATTTGAAGACCTCTTTTCAGTTTCTCACTCTTTTTCATTACTTTTACTTTTCTAAATAATGACAACCCTATAACAACCCTCCAGTGACATACTTCTATGACTTAAGCATATCATCAAACCGGATAAAATTATCACTAGGAGATTGTAAGTTGTAACTCTATATATGTATTGCTAATGATATTAAAAAGAAAAAAACATACTTATATAGACCTGTTTCAAAGTTCCAAACATTTCAAACAAGTTTATATATAAACTAGTCAGATTTTTCTTTTCAAGATAATTATCTAAGTACGTACCGAGACCAGATCAAACTAAAACATTACTACAAAATCTTCATTTGTTAAGAACGTCTTGATACCTATATAACCTTTTTCCTACCGATTCGAGTTTGTGATTTAATGATTTTTAATTGTGTTTTTGGCCATTTCTTAGCCAAGGGGCAAATACCCCGCGCGTGTGCATCAGTGCATGTGAATATGCAAACAACAACAACTAGATTATTACCTGCCAGCCAAACCGGGATCCATAGTGGGGTCAGGCTGTCCGGTTCCTTGAAAATTGGTGAGACGGTCCACAAAATTACCACAAGACCCGATCCCAACCGTGTGTGCACCCAAAAGAGCCACTGCATCAAAAACATCCATCCCTTTATTCCCAAAGAACGCTAACATAGCTGAGACTGGGAGGCCTGGTCCGGGGAGGATCCCTTCGGCTTCTGCAGGGTTCGAAACAAAGCCATCACGTCGTCCAGTGGGAACCACGTAGCTCGGTCCTCCACCTAAGAAAACCGAGTCACGTGTGGCGAGCGTGACTATATCGGAGCACGAGACCGTGGAGGGACATTGAGCCTCAAGAACCCTCTTGATCTCGTCGATCAGCTCAAACCCTCTCACGCTGCCGTTTGGACCAGCGTTCTTTTCTGATGGTCGAGTGGTCGTTGGGTCTATTAGGAGAGAAGCGTCGCAGCCCTAGGTGATATCAGCGATAAGTATTTGTTTAAGAAAGAGTATGTATATGATAAATATGTAAGATTTTGCATTTTCAAGTAACGTACGTCAATCATAATATTTACCTATACATAATTTAAAATCTTATGTGGTTTTCAAAAATAAATTAGAAAAAAATTATTTTAAAAAATTTGTTTTGTATTTTGACTCTCCAGTTATTACATACTTTAGTAAGCTTTTGCTTATTTTCTGTTTTTTTTTCTAATGAAGAGATTCATAGGAAAATATATTTGCGTAGGACCAATCTTAGATTATGTTATTTAGTATATCCTTCCAACTTGAAAAATGAATAAGTCGTTTGAATAATTTCTTATCTTTCTCTATTTTTTTTTTTGGTCAGACCAAGTTCTCTGTGGTTATATATCTTTTGATAAGCAAAAAAATACCAAAACTGAAAAAGGACTTTGATGTGATTCATACCTGGACAAAACAGTCATGAAAATGCATCCTAGTCAAAGCAGCTGTGATTGAAGGGTCAACACTGAACCGCTCGCGGACCAGGTTCTCTACGATTATTTCTGCATTAGGGCAGGATTGGCTGTAAAATCCGACTCTCAGTTGCGCAAAGGCGACCGGAAAGATGTATAAAATCTGGAGAAGAGCATAAAACTTTGCAATCTTCATCTTGTTTTAGTGGTAAGGACTGCGACGTAATTGTGGTGATGGCTTATTATCAGACCTCTGAGATCAAGCATCAGTACTTTATATATAAGCCCAAAGGGACTTTCTATAAAGAATGGGTCAGTCAAATTTATTTAAGTAAAGATATATATATATATATATATATATATATATATGTAAATATAAATCGAAAAGACTTAAGATCATGATTAACCTAGAATTCTTATAGTGGGATTATTAAAGTTAAGAAATTGTTTTCTTAACTTTTAACTAAAAAATATATGAACCGGTTCTTAAAATCTTTTTTAGAACAAATTCTTAATTTTTTCAGATAAAAATTAAGAAACAATTTTTTAACTTCCGCTAAGAATCTACCCTAAGAATATGGGTTACCAACTTTGAAACATTCCGATGCCTTATTGTTAATTATATACATAAGATATACATGCTGAGAAACGAGAATCAATGTAGCTATTTGTCATTTTATGTGATATATAAAATTTTAGTTCTATTTTAGCTATTTGTAATTTTATACGTAGATATCTTTTATACTATTCAGTTGCATGACTAGTATTTAATATGGCGATTGCAACTTGCAAGTGTTGGAAATAGTTTGTGTTTTGGTAATGACACCTATCAGAAGAGATAGTTTTTGTGTATTAGTAAATTGTGTGAGACTTACTTTTATATAAACCTACTTCTTCTCAGGATTAGCTCTTTTGAATCTTTCTTGAGATATACGAGATTAGATTATAGTTTTAGACAAACCGTGTTACTATGTTTGACAATCGGATTTAATGCGTAAAATATTAACAAGTGTACTTACAAGAAAAAAAAGGAGGCATCATCTGATTAAATATAAATCAATATAGTGTTAAGTAATTGCAATGCAAAGACTCGTTCCTAATTCCTAAAATATATTATACTGGTTCTAACATGAGAAAAAGTATGAAAGATTACAATGAAAAAGTGACTTACAGAAAGCAACATTGGGGTTGACTGTTAAGGATATTATTATATGATACATCATTAGATGATTTAGATATAAGACCGACGCATATTTAGTATAGATTTTGTGTAAAGAAGTTGTCGTTGGGAGCAAGAAAAATCACCAGGGGGTACATTTTATCATGCCCACTAGTTATTATAGCTATTAAAGCTGATAAGGTTTAGTAGTCTACAGGGGCGGACCCAGAAGTCTAGAAAACATGGGGCACAAAATATAATAAACATTTAGGGTAGGATTGGTTTTCTCGCTATCACCCGCAAACGCAACTATTGCGGTTGGTAGCGGTCGTTGGCGTTTTGCAACGATCACTCAAACCGTTCTGAACCTCTTAAATTCAAAGTTGGTTCCAACTATCGTTTGTGATTTCGAGAGAAAGATTTTTTTTCTTTTTTTTAAAAAAACAATATAATTATAAATACAAAAATAAAAATACTGAATACATTTTTTAAATTGGAATTATAAAAATTCTGAAATATAGCTATTATATTAATACTATTAAAAAAATTAAAAATATTTTTAATAATTTTAAAAAATTAAACCTTTAACTTTATAAGTATAATTTTTACATTTTATTATAATATTATGATTTTGGTATTTTATAATTATACAAAATGTAAATATTGTTAATTTATTTTTAACCGCTATTGCATTTGGTAGTTAACCAATCATAAATATTCCGGAAACACACCAATTTGTAATCGCAGTACCAGTAGTATAAATCTCTTAAAACCACAAAAAAACGTAATCACCCGCATCCGTATACTCCCCCAACCTTAACTATAATCGATGTGTTTGAACTAGTAGACCCTTAGTATCAAGATATGTAAATATAAAACATGGAACACATAATGCAATAACTAATTAAACTAAAGGTATTTAAGCAAATTTTATATCAAAGTTTTCCAAAAAAAAAAATTAGGGTGGGGCCCGTGCCACACCCTTCACTTACCTACGTCCGCCCCTGGTAGTCTATGTTTTCCTTCATGGAAATTCGTTTGGCTTTCAAGAGTTTTTCTTCTAAAATAATTTCATTTGAGTAAGTGAAATATTGCTGAAGTTGATAATATACTCTGACCTTTATTTCACTTGTTTGTCAATGGCTTGTATATATGGAGATGAACCTTTTGATCTTATCTAGTATGATTGGCCTGGTTAGGCGTTGTTATAGGCACTGGCGGAGCCAGAACCATTTAGGAGGGTCAAATGTACGATTCAACATAATTTACAACGGTCAATGTAGGTTTGACGTCAATTTATCTTATTTTTTAAAAATATAACTTATTTTTTCGGATATTCGGGTATCCATTCGGTTCTCGGTTCGGTTCCGGTTCTGGTTCGGTTTTTCGGGTATAGAAATATAGGAACCATTCGGATATTTAAGAATTTTGATCCGGTTTCGGTTTTGGGTATTTCGGTTCGGTTCCGGTTCGGTTTTTCGGTTTCAGTTTTTTTGCCCAGGCCTAGGTCAATGAGCTATGTTTTGTAATATTTTCACAGTTTTTTTCCTAAACACATGTAAAAAAAAATCACATATAAAAGATCGACATGGATCAATTGACCCATATACCAAAGGGGTGGCTCCGCCACTGGTTATAGGTGTGCAGGCTGCAGTTTGGTTCATAGTTACTACTGTTAAGCAACTTGATAAGTGGTATTATTTTAAACTGCAATAGCCTGATCATGCAAATAAATAATAATGGTATTGGTACGTTGACTTTTTAAGGTTAGCTGTTATCCCAGTAACAAAAACCAAAGTTTGTTAAAATTTATCATCTCCTTTGTAGAAAATGCTATT